ATGCTCAAATACTCACGAGTTGTGAGACAAGGAGAAACCATGAAATTAGTGCAATGATGTGCCGTCTTTAATAAACGTAATGGCAAAAAATGAGTGAAAATCTAGTTAAAAATAAATAAGTATTAAAATACTAAATAAATATATACATTTAAAAAATTTAATAAATAGATAATTCAATTAAAAAAAAAATTTAATTCCATTTTCTTTTAGTTTTATAAGTCATTAATATATGAAAAAATTTATATTTTTGAGTTAACTTCTGAACTGACCGTTTTCCTGTTTCATCTGAATTTCCCAGCTGGAATGTAATAATGCTATTGAGGTTTTTAATCAGAAACACTATTAAAACATCTCTCTTTTTACACTCTCTCATATTCATAAACTGGACAATATGTGAAATTAGTGCAATGACACTGTCAGAGAACTTAATGGCCAAATAATCAGAATAAGCAAGCTTTACAAAGCAACAAGGAGAAAAAAAAATATTAACCAAGCACACTGACTGAATTTCATGCGGATGTACTCATACGGATCTTCCTGCCATAGTCTTTCATCTTCATCTTTATAGCACATCAGAGGAAACACCACCTCCTGAGTTATAGTCTGCAGAGACAGAGATATTAAGCTGCATGAAAGTCATCATTTATATGAAGTCATGTGATGCTGGTTCCCACCTGCACGTGCGGTTTCATCTGTTTCCATGTGAGCGAGTGCGAGACGCCCTGAGTCGTGTAGCTCAGAGCCTGCTGGAGGACGCGAGGACTCACGTACTGCCTCTGTCTGTGCTGGTCGATCACTTTTAACAAGACCTGCAGGAAAAAAACAGGATCAGCAATCATCGTACATCACTGTACCATGGTACCAAAATAATATGGTTTTTAAATGCCATTCGATTTTAGATATTTTTTTATTTACACTACAAATGCTGTTCATACCTGCTGGATTCCTACAGCATAAGTCTTCAAGAAAAAGTCAGCAAACTCAACATATTCTTTCGTTACATTTCCTGGACTGCCATATCTGAGAATAGAAAATCAGCACAAATCAATTAATAATATAATATAATAAATATAATATAATTCCAAGTTATTTTGATCAAAATATACAAAATATAATAAATATACAAATATATAATTTATAATATATTTATATTTACAAATATATATACACGTGTATATATATAAAATAATATAATATAAAAATTCCAAATTATTGTGATCAAAATATACAAAATACACAATATTCCAAGTCATTGTGATAAAAAATTATGTAATTAATTATACAAAATATACAATTAATGTACAAAATATATAATATAATTCCAAGTTATTGTGATCAAAATATACCTCTAATATACAAAATATAATACACAAAAATACACAATATTCCATAATATAATATAATTAATATAATATTCCAAGTTATTGAGGTTAAAAAATGACTGTAAATAATCATAGAAAATATACAATTAATATGTAAGAAAAATGATATAATCAAGTTATTGACATTAAAAAAAGAATTGCTGGGTACTGCTCGGTTTTTAAGTCTGCCATTGTGAAAAGTGAATTTCCTATTAGGGGACCAATAAAGTTCTTTCTATTTTAAGTGCTTGTGGTCTGGCTTGTTTAATCACCTCTCAAACATTCTCGTGATGATGTGCAGAGCCCATTTCTTGCATTTCCACCAGATCAGTTCTGGTCGATCGTCCTCATCAGCTTCCAGAGTCTCCTGAAAGTCATTCAGCATCGAGTCATGGAATCATATTTACCAATAAGATCTTAACTGTGAGGAAAAATGCTTCCCAAACGTACTGCTGGGACGTCCCGATCCACAACTGTCCGCAGGATCTCCATCCAGTGGGTCATGACGGTGTTATTGATCAGCTGTAGTGGAAGGGAATACTGCAGATGCAAACACAAACCAGGACTTAGCACTTAGCACTTGGGAATAACCTGGTAAACAAATGCTCACACACACCTGTACAAGTGCATGGAAAATCTTTAGGATTTGCTTCTGGATCAGAACTGAGATGAAGGTGGCATCAGACAGAAGTTGAGTGATGAGTTGCTGGATCCGTGGCAAGAAGACCTGCATTGCAGCCAACAGGGGGTCCCGCTCCTCAGCCTTCTTAAACCTGACCACCACAGAACCATAATGATCAACTTTCATACATATTTCAATTTACTCTTCCATAGACCTCTGATTTAAAGGAATAGTTCACCCAAGAATTTACATTTTGGGACAATTTGCTTAACTTCAGGCCAACCAAATGAGTTTGTTTCTTCATCAGAACAGATTTGGAGCATTACATCACTTGCTCACCAGTGGATCCTCTGTAGTGAATGGGTGCCGTCAGAATGAGAGTCCAAACAGCTGATAAAAACATCACAATAATACACAAGCAATCCACACGACTCCAGTCCATCAGTCCAAAGTCATGTGAAGTTAAAAACCTGCGTATTTGTAATGAACAAATCCATAATTAAATCAAACTGTTGCTTCATGTCCTCTATCCATAATATTGCTTTGTCCAGTGAAAAAAAGTTGTCTCATCTGAATCAGGAGAGAAATATGCACACATCAAGCATCAGGAAAACACTTCAAAACAAATATGTTGGTGGATTTTGAAGTTTGAGGACAACAGAGAATGGACTTTTTCACTGGAGGAAGCATTATTATGGACTCGTATTTTGACAGTTCATTTTTGAGTGAACTATTCCTTTAACCTCAATCTGATTTGAGGGTGACAATTATGACATGACTAAACTGTGATAAAAATATCCTTAAGAGAAACAAAAATCTTGCGGTTCACTCACTCATAGTTTTTGACGAGTTGGTAAAGAGCGAGCAGACTCCCATACCAGCTCCCACTGTTCTGTGACTGCAGATACAGATTCATTTTGTCCACTACGCCCGTCCACCGTCCAGGAAAGTCGTGTTTTATTATGGCACGCAAACATACTGTCAACTGAGCCCTGCCAACCGACAAAAAAAGTCATTTTCAAGCAATAACACCTGCAAAAATGCCGTCCTTGCACAACTGACTCACCTTATGGACTCTGGACAGCGAATAATGGCCTCCACCATGTTTTCTCGGATCTGTCCGCGATCGTTCTCATGAATGTTGAAAGGAAACACCACCTCCCCCAGAGTGGGCTCTCGGTCCTGCCAGTACTGACTCACCATGTTCTTCAGGTAGATGGCAGCTAAAGGAAGAATATAATGACTAACGGTAAAGGGAAAGATCTCAATCCAGAATGATTCCACTTGGGTCATTCAGATTCAGAATCTCAGCTTGATTAATCAGTCATTTCTAAAGGTATAAAAAGAGGAGCTCTCACCTGCCTGTCGCACAGGAAACTCCACCTGGTCCGACACAATGATCTGCAGCAGAGTTGGGGCGAAGTTGATGATCTTGTAAGACTGAAAAAAAAAAATGAAATTCAAGAGACTGATGACTTAGATTTTTTGTAAACATTAGCAATCTGCGATCCCACATGGTTTATCTGGACTCAAGTGTCACTGTTCTCAGTGACTGGCTTTTCTTCAGGACCGAGATCAAGTGGCGACCCAATATAGCTCCAAAATTATGACATTATCACACAAAATTGTTGGTTTCATGCTACCTGTATCCAATAATTCAGAATTACTGAAACAGCTTATAGTGAGAAAATATCATTAAATCCTTTTCATAACAAATATAACAAACAACCGATTGGATGGCAAATGTAATGCAAAGAACTGAAATAATGAAACTAATTCATTAAAAAGAAATTGTACGCTTTTTGTATGCAGGCACATCAGCTCTCCCAACCACATATGAGTTTATCTAGAAGAGACCTGACTTTGTATAGAGCGCTTTGCACAGAGTGCAGATTGCACCGAATTGCATCAGTGGTCTGCAACGGTGATTTACATGCAGCAGAATCAGGACACAATAAAAAATGTCATATCGCAGTATAACACCTATAAACTCTGTAGTAGTGCACATTGCACATCATTCATTAGGGGTATTAGGTTTTTTATTTCTCTCTCTCTCTGGAATCAAGAGTAAACCAGACCAGATCTTAGAATAAAGCACAGGTCACAAATATTATTTTAAATAGACATTTGCCTCTGTTGTTGCACACTGATGCTTTGATGCAATGCAACTAGTTTGCAACATTATACAAACAAAATCAACCACCTAAATAGTAAACAAATATAAAATAGTGACTAATTAAACATGAACCTGCCTTATGCATTAAAATCAGGCCCTAACTTAGAATATTCACTGAAAGCATCTCTGCTCTTACTGTGTTTGTGTTTCCTAGAGAAACATCAAACTTCTCTAGATGATGGTTCACTGACCTGGTTGAGTTCATTCTCAGCCGCTAGCCTGAGATTCGGGTCTATGGTGCCCTTCAGAGCCTGTATGATTCGACTGGGATCCATTAGGCCCGATGCGAAGGATTAATTTGAATAAATTTGGACCTTCGGACAGATACGCGGACGATCAGTTGTCTCCGATCTTACAAGCAGCCCTGCCCCAGTCTGCCGGCGAGCGACTATCAGCGTCGCAAAGAACAAAGCCGAAGCGAAACGTTTACGGCAGAAGCTGGCATGACAACTGCTGCCCACGCGAAAAATTAAAGGGACCTTTTTTATTATGACTGTGATGTAAACATTTAAACTGCATCTAAATGGCGGCCTATTCAGAATTAAAATTGCACTTAAAATCGAAAAGTATATGCCACTATTCAGAATGTATATACATTTGTTACAGGTTTATAAATGTCAGTTTATTCTGCATAGTTTTGAATTATTGACTAAAACACATTTTTTGACAGCTTTTTTATTTTGCAACTGAGTCTTTGCAATATAATAAGGTTTAATGAACATAGAGATATAACAAACATTTTATATTTAAAATCAAGTTTGAACCATTTGCGCATTTCCTGTATAGTATGCGCGTTTCGTATATAGATGTATTGTCTCGTTTGATGTGCCGTAGTGTTGTCAATGAAAAGTGTCATGGTGGCGTTTAGCACCAAGAATGTACATTTTACCAACAGAAACCCGTTTGAATCGTTTAATTTCGATGGTGTGATACATTTTGGTCTTTTCCAGCGACCGCGACTGTCGGACACAACATAACGCGCGCATCAAACAGTTTAATAACGCTGTCGCGTGAATGTGCGGCAGCTGCAAGTGGAACTGCGCGGATTCTCACTGTCTGTCATCATGTGTGACACGCAGCGAGACGATGAGCTCCGGCCGGTTCCCAAAGAGCGAGCCGTGCTCGAGAGTTTCTTCACTCAGCTCGGGATGTTCTGGTTCGACAGGGCGAAGGATTATGTGGAGAAGGAGAAGGACGCCAGTAAGAGCGCGGGGGCCATCTGGGCATCTCTGCTGGCCGCTCTCGCACACCTGGCAGCCGCGGAGAAAGCCTACCACAACATGACTTTCCTCGGGCAGAAACTAGGTGTGAGAGAAGCATTTCCAAATCTGCTGGTGCGACCGTGGAGGCATTTGGTAGCCCATTTCCTCCACACAAGAAAAACATTTTTTAAAATAAAAATTATGACATAAAAGTCAAAATTATAAGTATGGATTACAGATATCGACACACAATTCTGAGATAAAGTCAGAATTATAAGATATAAATGGATAAGTTAAAATAACAATTATGAGATTAAGTCGAAATTGATATTAAACAATAAAATTGAGGTAAAACGTTGAAATTGACACAAAATATGAGATTTTAGGCCACAATTATGAGATGGAAAATAAACATTATGACTGTCAAAATTATGAGAAACTAAACATTGAGATACCAAGTCATAATTATGAAATCGAAAGTCGAAATTATGAGATAAAAGGTCATAAGTTAAACATAAAGAACTGACGTCAATTATGACAAGTCAAAATTAAGTCATAATTACAACAAAGCTATAAAGTTGACAAAACATTTGACATGTTATAACTGACATTTTTTCATAACACATAATTGTAATTATATCATAATTATGATTTGTTGTAATTGACTTTTCATCTCAAATTTGATATTTAATGCCAATACGTAATTACATCGTGATTTGTCATAATTATAACTTTTCACTTATCATTATAATGTTTCCATTTATCTCAAATTATTATGACTGTCATAATACATCATTTTAAATTTTAATGTGATTTGACATAATAATGACCGTATCTCATGAATTTAATTTAATTTATGTAAAACTTGATTTACCAGAGCATGATATTTTTCTTACGTGGTGGAAATCAGCTTCCATAGGTATCAGATGGTAACACTTTCTGATTATGCTAGTAATTCAGTAACATATCATGGCAAGATGATGTTTTTGCAGATTGTGCCATGTGGTCATACATAATGCATCTCCATCTGTGTGTTCTGTTATTGAATTAATATTCAAGCTGAAACACTAGAAGTGCCTCCTGTATTGTATTGTTTTAATGCCACCATATTAAAGTGTGTATCATGCAGGTGGTCAGTCATTCTTCAGCCGCAAGGATTCCATCAGAACCATCTATACGTCCCTGAACAACGAACTGAAGAAGGTGGTCTCCATGGGCCGTCACACAGCCGGAGGCTCCACTCCCAACCTGGAGGATCTCCTGCCCCATTTGTCGGAGCAGCTGTGTCACTTCACGCAGGCCAGGATGGAGATCGCTGACTTCTACGAGAAGATGCATTCTCTGGGCAGCCAGAAGACTGTGAACTCCGAGGAGCTTGTGAGCACGCTGGAGAGCATTCTGCAGAAGTACAGTTCCAGGTGAGAAACAGGGGCGGCGCTGATGCTGTGTGTGCAAATGCTTCATTGAGTCGTTTTAGAATCATTACAATTATAAAAAACAATGGTCATTTTGTATATTACTGAAATGGTCTACGAATGGTTTTAGATTATGAGGATCATGCTGTGTGTGTTGTGTGTGTGTGTGTGTTGCGAGGGTCTCCGTGTTATCCATGCCAGCAGAGGGAGCTGTGGCTCACCTTGCTCACATTTACCCTTTATTTATTAGCAAAACAAATGATTTTAACAATTTTTACACCCAAAACACATGGAATAGAAAAAGTATGAAAGCCCATGTCCACCTCAGAGTAAACAAAAATAAAAGTAATTTCAAATGAGAATTCTTTTAAAATCTTTACTCAGAAATGGACTTAACAGAAAATGGATTAAATTAATGAATGAGGTGCATTTAAATTAAATTAAGTTTGATAAAAGCATCTGTATGTATATATAAGTATTTTATAAGTTTTATTTAAAGGATACAGCTTCACTATTATTAATTAAAATAATTATTAAATAAACTAAAAATAATAAACACCATGAATTAATTATTAAATATATATGTTTAATTAGATATTTAATTAATTAGTCAGAAATGAGCTTAAACAAAAAATTACCAATAATTTCTTTATAAACAAATGGAGCTGCTGAAGGAAAATGTGCTGCATTTAAAGGTGCATTTGATGTCTTTTTTTTTAAAGCATATGGCAAATAATATATAAAAAAAAAAATTTGCTTTAAAAAATGACATCAAATGCACCTTTAAATGTAGCACATATATATATATATACACATACACACACACACACATATACATATATATATATATATATATATACACACACATATACATATGCACACACATATACACATACACACATATATACACATACATATATACACATATATACACACATATATATACATATATATACACACACATACATACATATATACACACATACATATATACATATATACACACATATATATATATATATATACATATATATATATATTTTTTTTACATTATATTAATATAGTAACATAAAAAATATAGCGATAGATACAAGTTTGACAAATATTGTTCAAGCCCTTTCCAAAAAAAATCTCTTCTCATTTCTCACAAACTACTTAAATTGACCTTTAAATTACAAGGTTGTTCTAGCAGAAATCATGTTATAGTGTGAGGACAAGTGATGCATGATAAAGCAGTATGTGAGCCCAGCACCTGGTTAATGACATCTGAAGCCGAGCGCTCCCACTGACTGCTCAAGGTGAACTCTGCTCTTCACTAAAGGAAGAGAGAGAGAGAGAGATGGAAGGAAGGATGCCAAATGTTGAGTCATCGCTGGAGTAGAAGAGATGAGATCTCACAAATGTTATCTGATCAATTAATCAGTCAGCCAAGTGCTTAGCAGAGATTTGGCTCTTGCCAGCAGTGTGACGCTACAGAGGGTCTGCAGAGGCTGACCTTGAGAAATCAGCTGTGAACTCGATTAAATGTCTGCCTACAGAGAAAATGCGATTTAAATGTGAATCTTTGTGTTGCAAAAATTATTTCCAAATACTCTTTTTTCTCTATACTCTTCTGCCAGCCTTTTTTATGAAGAAGCTCACTTTTCTTTCTCTCTCTGTCATTTCCTCATGCTCTCTTTCCGGCTGCCTGCTAAGACATGTAATTAATGATCAGTCAGGGGTGAAGAATTTTCACGCTGCTGCTGAATGCAGGAGATGTAATGAGCTCTCTGCCGACCTGCAGTATTCATGACTTTCTCCAGCACTAATGAGCAAAGAGAACAAGCTGGCGCGGCGTCGCTCGCTCAAACACAAACGGGACACACAGACTGCAGGATTACAGAGATGTTGACAATCATCCACCATCTTATATTAATATCAGAGTTCCATTTCACGTAGGGCTGCACGATATTGAAAACAAATTCTATTGCGATATTTTTTTCTCCAAGATATATTATAGAATAAAATTATTGTAAAGCTATGAAAACATACAGGAATTTTCTCTAAATGATTTGAATAGCAATATTTGGAAAGAATTACTAATTTTAGATTAAGTTGGTTGTTTGCTGAGGAGTGCATCTGCATTTAAAATTATTCAAAAAATCTAAAATAACTTTTGTGTGTGTGTGTGTGTGAACCATCCTTTTACCCCTGGTTTCACAGACAAGGCTTAAGCCTAGTTCCAGACTAAAATGTAAGTCTGAGCCGTGTCAACTGAAAGAAACTTGCACTGACTGATCTTAAAATATATCAGTGCCTTTGTTTTGTCTCAAGATGCACACCAGTAATGTGTTTTCTAAGGCATGTTTATGAAAAATGATGTCCTAATTGAACTATGACCTAATCCTGTTTAGTCTAAACCCATCTGTGAAACCAGGCCTTAAGAGTTGAACAATTTTGGAAATACACTTGGGTTACTTTTTACAAGAACCAACTTAAATCTCTTTCCACAACCATAAAGTGAACAGAATTTTAAAAATATATATTTCTTTCAACTTATGGTTTTCATAAGCCTCATTCCCATAGCTTTTTGACCAACTTAATGACTATAAAATAATGATTTTTATTGGGATTATTATTACATTAAAATATTAAATAAATTACAATAAAACGACTACTGTAAAGTAATTCTGTATTTGATAATTTTACAAAAATTACACAAAAATCGTCTCAGAGCTGAAACACCAAATCATGGGCTCAGAGCTCGATTTTGAACAGCAGGCTTACACTGAAAAAAAAAATGGTATTGTAAATTTCACAAATAATTAAAGAAATGACAAGTAACACATTGAATTAATCCTGAAATTTTGAAGTTGAAAGACTGATAAACTACTTAAAAACGTTTAAAAATTATTATTAAAAATAATAATTATATAAAAATAATTAATTCTGTAGTGTAAATGAAAAAAAAAATCAATAATTGAAAAAAAATAAAAATGATTTTGTACAGTGTGTAAATGAACAGTAGCGCGCTTCACTTTGAATTCTGCAGCGCATTACGTTATTATCCTTTGCGTTTTGCCTATTGCATTAAACCATTTCGATACATTGTGCAGCCCTAATTTTGTGCCATTTCGTTTCTTTTAGATTCCACCATCCAATCCTGAGCCGTCTTGAGAGCAGCTTCCAGGTGGAGGTGGACGTGTTGACGCAGCTGTTACGATGCCAGGCGCAGATCTCCGAGTGGCATTTCCTGCCATCTTTGCTGAATCTGCATGGCGCCCATTCCAAACTTCAGGCATGGGGTCAGGTGTTCGAGCGGCAAAGAGAAACCAGGAAACACCTTTTCGGAGGCCAATCCCAGAAGGCCGCGCAGCCGCCGCACCTCTACCTGTGGCTGCAGTGCCTTCAAGCGACGCTCCAAGCAAAATTCAGCTTCTACTTCCACGAGGCTCTGAGCCGCCAAACGTCACAGTCCGAAATGAAAACCCTGACGGCTCGCACCTCCCTAGATTACTTCGGCAAGATCTCGGGCTTCATTCGCAAGCACGACGCTTCGAACGTCTCCTTGGTCTTCGACAACCGTGGCTCTGAGAGCTTTCAGGGACACGGATATCACCATCCGCACTCTTACCGTGAAGCTCCTAAAGGTGTGGACCAGTTTCCAGCCATCGTGTCACTTCCTGGCGGAGAAAGGCCGGTCACGCATTGGCCCAATGTCATCATGATCATGAGTGACCGCTCCACGGAGCTTAACGCTTTGGATAAGGTGGTCCACTTTTATGACGATAAAGTCCAGAGCACCTACTTCCTTGCACGGCCCGAGCCGCACTTCACTGTGGTGGTGATCTTTGACGGGAGGAAGTCAGAGAGGGACTCGAACATAGTGGCATTCCTGCAGGAGCTGACGGGATCGCTGAGGAACACCAAACCCTTCACTACACTCAAACCAGGCTCAAAGGGCTGAACTCTTTCATATTTATCAATATATACTATTTTTCACCCCAAATATAGTTTGTTTTAAAAGGACATTTACCTCGATATCAGTTGCTGTTGCTCTTTTATTCACTGTGCTGCTAAAACTCTTGTTGAATATAAACCATTTTATTCTTTTCCCTTTGAACAGCTACCAAAGAGGTCCAAAAGCTTCATAATTCAAACACTTTCAGACCAAAGGCGAATATCACAGCCGTGACTGTGTCTTGTTTTTTTTTATGTGCTCACAAATTAGTTATTTAAGCTTGTGTTCCTGCTTAGCAATTGGATTTGCTTTACCGCATGTGAAAGGGACCCACTGCAAAGAATTTGCCTTCCCCTTTTATTGTTAATTTGCTGTGCATTTTAATAGCCTTTGGTTTTAATGTTTTGACTTTTTTTGACCATTGTGTACATTTTCACTTCTGAAATAAAGTTTGGAATTGTCTGTCATACTATAACTGTACAGACTTCTTTCTCTTAGGGAATAAAATTGTTATGGATAAAAAACTTTTTGATTGCACGTGTGCATTTCTTTGGGTTGCAGTGATTAACAAAATTAAATCTACTGAATTACTTCAGCTTCAAATTCTTATTGATTCAAAGAGCCTCTTCAATGTGACATTCAATGTGATCTATAGTACTGTTTGAAAGCTTGAAGGTTTGTAAGATTTTTCATGTTTTTGAAAAGTCCTATTCTCACAAAGGTTGCATATTTGATCAAAATCCAGTAAAACAGTAATATATTAAAAAACGTATTTCTCTGTTGGCAAAGCTGAATTTTCAGCATCATCGCGCCAGTCTTCAGTGTCACATGATCCTTCAGAAGTCATTTTAATATGCTGATTAGCTGCTCAAGAAACATTTTCTTTTCAACCATTCCTGGGTGCGTTTTAAAGTGTTTGTGGTCATTGTCCTGCTGGAAATCCCAGGACCTTCATTGTAATTCAGTGCACAATTTCAATGAAAAATAACTATACCTATTCAAACGTGAATACGTTTTTGGATTTCGGTGTGATATAAACGGCGACTGATTATTTTCTTGTTATGGTTCACTGCAACCCAATAAAGCCCATAGGTCACAGCTGTACATATGAGAGTTAACATCTGTACTGAAGGACAGCAGAAAGGATGTCCCAGCTTGCATTTAAAAAATGGATGAAGATTAATATCAATCAAAACATTAAAGATTGATAGCTTTATAACACAAGACTGTGAAAACAAGCTCACAAAACATCAGCAAATCTGAAACCACAGTGGGGTCCAAAGGTCTGAGATCACGTTAAAAATCTGGATTCAAAATCTAATTTAAAATGAACCAAGAAATGCTGTGATGTAAAATGAAAAAGAAAACTTAAATCATGCTGGAGAACATGATTAGCTGGTTTTACACAAAATTGTTCACGCAGCTAAAGCAAAAGGAACAAACTAAATATATATTATGATATTCACATTGCATTTTCAATTCAACATGAAATGGTAGTAGTATTATATTAGAATGCAAAATAAAAAGTGGTCTAAGACTTTTGGACCCCAATGAATGTCTAATCTCTATCATTTTACCTCCACGTTAGAATCGGCCAAGTTAAGGTGCATGATGGGAAATGATTCCTTGCTAAAAGACTGTGACCTCCACGCCTGCATGAGCCATAAAAGCATCCTCGAATCTTCCTAAATTTTTTACGGCAAGACTGAAATAAGAGCACAGGTTATTATTAGTGTACATGTGAACAAAACATGGATCCAGGCAGATGAATTGTAATGTTTAAAGGAACAGTGCACTAAAATTCACAATCATTCACCTTTTATGTTCTATAGAGGAGTGGTTTGTATAAAATGGTAATAATAACAAAATGTTATTTTTGGGTGCACAGTCTCTGTGATTGTAGATCGCCATATGTTTTTTACTCACCGTTTAGTTTTAGTATGCGTCAATCCATCACTAAACTGAAATATACCAACAAAAAAGTACAATGCACCATTTTTGAGACATATGAACTTTTACCTTTATTTCAAAGACATTCAGTTTCGACACAATTTAAAATGCACTGGAACATGATTTAATGCTACATGCCAATACAGTCCTATACATGAAAGTGCGACACCACAATGGATTAAATGTACATATTTATTATTTGTTCAGGATATTAAATATCTGGAAAGAGCTCTAGCATTATTATTATTATAATTTAACTTGGGGAACGACTCTTCAGAGAGCGATGGGAGCACACACCCTTGGCAGACCAGGCTCCTGCATTCAACATGCATCCTGAAAGGCACTTTCATGTGAACACAGTGCGTGTGTGTGTGTGTGTGTGAAGGAGGGTGGGGCGATAATCATAGATATTCACATTGCTTGGAAAAGGACAAAAAGGTGGGCACTGGATACTGCGACAAGCAGTCATATGAAAGAGCGCCAGTAAGAAATGAAGGTAAAAAAATAGAACAGGTAGAAAAACGTAAAAGCAGCAGTCAAAAAAAGTGGAAAAACAATCATTGTTAGTGTATAAAAAAGTGAAACAAGGCCGTTCAGTTGTAAAACAACTCGCCTCACCTTCATGCATATTTACACACCCTCGTTCTCTAAAAAAAGTGGAAAAACAATCATTGTTAGTGTATAAAAAAGTGAAGCAAGGCCGTTCAGTTGTAAAACAACTCGCCTCACCTTCATGCATATTTACACACCCTCGTTCTCTCACACACACACACACACACACACAATCCTGTCTACAAGTGCAGCACACTCTTTCTCTCTTTCACTCACACCACACACACTCAGACACTTAAGTTGTCATGTACAAGCATGAGTTATTCGTCATCTAGTACTCTGAACTACTCTAACCGCATTTTATCATGCAAAAACCTCCACACAGACACACACAGAAGAGCCATGTTTGGATAGTGTGCTCCAAAGAGTCTGCCGTTGACAACATCGTACAAACACACATATACTGGAAGCACAGGGGACGTTGAAAATCGAGGACCGAACACCATGATCGTCCGACAGTGAAGCAGCAGTGGAAATTGTACTTGAATGACCTGAGGGAGGGTGTGGCCTATTTGCACGAACTTTCAGAATTTTCTTTGCATTCCTGTGTTTTTGCGCCTTCAGTGTGACGTTTTGATAAAGCTTAGTTTGTGTGTTTGCCCTCAGAATGCGTCCCCCCCACGTCGTCCAATCAGGCTTCAGGGTTTGGTTTCCACGGTAAAGGGGGAGGTTTATCTGGTGATGAAGGCTTAGTGTGGTATTTTTCGAGTGAAAAAAGGGAAGAAAAAAAAAAAGGAACATTCATGGAATACATTCTGTGTTCTACAGTCGCCTCACGGGAAAGGCTAGGTGAACGAACCAAAAAATGAAATTACATTCCCCATCAACTTCCAACAAGTGAAATAACTATTTTCCCAAGAGGCACCAGGAGTTCTGTAACTCGAATCGAAGCATCAAAAAAGGCAGCAGCAACTTATAAAAAATGGTGTTTTCGACACATCCCTCTTGTGGTAGTAAGGCCTAACAAATCAAAGCACTCAAAATACATTGCACTGACTCAATGGAACACTTCCCAAAAAAAGCAACAACGGTACTTCCTGTACAGGCAGTCTCTCTCCGCTGTCTCTGAATGTGTTCCTCGTAAATGTATCTACACACAGACAAGTAAAGTCCTATTCACTTTGAGAATACACACACCACCCTGACAACACATTTATGGATATAATATCGTAGACTAATGCTATCAGACCTTTCTGCGCGTAAACTAGCTATCGGCCGTACAATCATGTCATTATTAAGAGATTAACCCTGTTCTTCGAGCAGTCGTCAAGTCTTAAACCCTGTTTCCTTCAGTTGGACCCATTGGCTTACATAGTGCCAGATTTGTCGCCACCGAAACTCGAGGGCGGATTCTGGGGCTGCTGGCAAGGTGGAGGGTTGGCTTTGGGGAGAATGGGCGGTTTGGGCCGCAAAGCAGGTGGGCGGAGCGTCACGTGTGTGTGTGTGTGTGTGAAGGAGGGTGGGGCGATAATCATAGATATTCACATTGCTTGGAAAAGGACAAAAAGGTGGGCACTGGATACTGCGACAAGCAGTCATATGAAAGAGCGCCAGTAAGAAATGAAGGTAAAAAAATAGAACAGGTAGAAAAACGTAAAAGCAGCAGTCAAAAAAAGTGGAAAAACAATCATTGTTAGTGTATAAAAAAGTGAAGCAAGGCCGTTCAGTTGTAAAACAACTCGCCTCACCTTCATGCATATTTACACACCCTCGTTCTCTCACACACACACACACACACAATCCTGTCTACAAGTGCAGCACACTCTTTCTCTCTTTCACTCACACCACACACACTCAGACACTTAAGTTGTCATGTACAAGCATGAGTTATTCGTCATCTAGTACTCTGAACTACTCTAACCGCATTTTATCATGCAAAAACCTCCACACAGACACACACAGAAGAGCCATGTTTGGATAGTGTGCTCCAAAGAGTCTGCCGTTGACAACATCGTACAAACACACATATACTGGAAGCACAGGGGACGTTGAAAATCGAGGACCGAACACCATGATCGTCCGACAGTGAAGCAGCAGTGGAAATTGTACTTGAACGACCTGAGGGAGGGTGTGGCCTATTTGCACGAACTTTCAGAATTTTCTTTGCATTCCTGTGTTTTTGCGCCTTCAGTGTGACGTTTTGATAAAGCTTAGTTTGTGTGTTTGCCCTCAGAATGCGTCCCTCCCACGTCGTCCAATCAGGCTTCAGGGTTTGGTTTCCACGGTAAAGGGGGAGGTTTATCTGGTGATGAAGGCTTAGTGTGGTATTTTTCGAGTGAAAAAAGGGAAGAAAAAAAAAAAAGGAACATTCATGGAATACATTCTGTGTTCTACAGTCGCCTCACGGGAAAGGCTAGGTGAACGAACCAAAAAATGAAATTACATTCCCCATCAACTTCCAACAAGTGAAATAACTATTTTCCCAAGAGGCACCAGGAGTTCTGTAACTCGAATCGAAGCATCAAAAAAGGCAGCAGCAACTTATAAAAAATGGTGTTTTCGACACATCCCTCTTGTGGTAGTAAGGCCTAACAAATCAAAGCACTCAAAATACATTGCACTGACTCAATGGAACACTTCCCAAAAAAAGCAACAACGGTACTTCCTGTACAGGCAGTCTCTCTCCGCTGTCTCTGAATGTGTTCCTCGTAAATGTATCTACACACAGACAAGTAAAGTCCTATTCACTTTGAGAATACACACACCACCCTGACAACACATTTATGGATATAATATCGTAGACTAATGCTATCAGACCTTTCTGCGCGTAAACTAGCTATCGGCCGTACAATCATGTCATTATTAAGAGATTAACCCTGTTCTTCGAGCAGTCGTCAAGTCTTAAACCCTGTTTCCTTCAGTTGGACCCATTGGCTTACATAGTGCCAGATTTGTCGCCACCGAAACTCG